CAATCCAGACGAAGATCGTATGCATCATAGACTGAAGAAAGACCAGACCCACCCTTTCAGAAATCCCTTGTAACGAACTAGGATCAAAGTCGGCATCGATGGATTACTTGTTTCAGAGATGAATGTCCTCGCATGGGTAATAACACAAACAATCTGTTGGAATCCGAATGAGGCAAGCTTAAACGAGTCGATTTCAAACATTCTTGCACTATGACTTCTAAAGGAAAGTGGCTATTTTCGACGGATGACTGTAGTTTGTCTTTTCTATGTTGTTATTGATATGTTGCGAAAACTAAGTGTACTCTATTGACAGGATAAATGTTCGAAATGCATTACAACTAGGACACTACAATTAATTACGTTCTGTGAATCGTAACGTAACAAGTTATGGAGCTGATCTTAAGCAAATACTTCGTAGTCTGGAATGTAAGTGCTCATTTCTTACATTATCATTAGCGCTTACATTCACGTTACTTGATACGGAGAGTGAAACAAACGAGCAGTTGGTTAACGTGTCAGATACATACAATAAAATTAGCATGGGCTCCGGCGGACAATTTAGGTAAGGTGATCCGACCTTAGCTCTTTTCAACGCTGGTCGGCCTCGCCCAAGTAGGTATCATTAAATGCACATGCATATAAATTAATGATTATTGATAATGAAGCTTACAAGTGGCTACATCTAGTTCTGGCACTTTACCATATAAAATTGAAGAATTGAAGGGAGTGGTTACCGTTTACATACTAAACGGCAACTGCTGCTTGTAATCGCGTGTGGCTGTTTGTGACAGCTTGTGACTGTTATGTTAGGAAACCTTTTAGTCTTAGTACATCTGTTTGCGTCCTCGAGGACATATTTAGCTTGTGCCTAGCTTGTGACAAGTCCAGCCACAAGCCAGTCACGACCCGTCCTTGTTGAAGTTTGCTTTTACCTGTAACATTGTTTATACAATTGGCGAAGTGAAGCAAACTTGGCTATTGCGAAGCCGTCACCTGCCAGCCCAGATGCTTCGCAACTTCCTTGAAATTAGATGCTGTTTTTCAAACAGCTGAAGCAAATTGACAAGGAGCTAACGGTTGCGTCCCGAGTTGGTCTGTACCTCCCAAAGTTGACCTTGAAACGGTCTCTCAATTCCCCCCCCCTCACCGAAAGGACAGCCGCATGAAGCAAAATACATGGTGATGATCGCAGAGCTTCCCGTTGGAGCTACAGGAGAAGGCAATCCGACAATTAAGGAGGTTTTGATGTTGTCCGATATTCAATAGTCTAATCGGGTACGCCGCTCTTTTAGATGTAGTGCGCCGTGAAAGCGAGCTACACTCATATCTGTTTCATCCGTGAGTAAAAACCAGTGTCTCCATCGACTTCTGATTTTTGCCATTACAAAGATAATGTCCTTGTAAGGATGCTCCAATGGTTCTCTGACTAAACCAAAACAGCGATGTTGCATTGTGTCTGAATTAGTGTAGAGATCGGTTTTTCCACGATGGAGGTAACATTGCAAGAAGTAACTTTCTGCACATCTAATACGGCCAACATTATCACTGAGGTCATACATTGCCTATAGTGGGTATAGTAACTGCCAGGCGAACTCCATCGAAAAAATATTCTTCAGAATCTTTCGTTTTTACAGAGTGCTAGAATACTGTTACAACCGCCAGCGAGATCGATAAGCAAAATCAACAAATAAGAGCGGATACATATCAGTGTGAG